GCTCACTTTTATTCTCACTACAAGCCCACAAAGCTTCCAGAGTAAGGTTTGTGGAAGGGATTTCACCCTGGGCTTCCCTGGACTAAATTCCCTATCCACTGGCAGTTCAGCCTTGCCACTTGAACAATGTTGGTAGCTTTTTGTTCACAAAACAGGAAATTGTGTGTGTGTGTGTGATTAGGCACCCTGGAAACAGCACCAGTACTAAGTTATATGGTGCCCTTGTGCAAGATGTTCCCAGTGGGCACGCACCAACTAGATAAAAGGTAAAGGTACCCCTAAAGAGGAGAGCGCAAAATATGGTCTGAAGCTCAACATCAAAAAAACGAAGATCATGGCCACTGGTCCCATCACCTCCTGGCAAATAGAAGGGGAAGAAATGGAGGCAGTGAGAGATTTTACTTTCTTGGGCTCCATGATCACTGCAGATGGTGACAGCAGCCACGAAATTAAAAGACGCCTCCTTCTTGGGAGAAGGGCAATGACAGGCCTAGACAGCATCTTGAGAAGTAGAGACGTCACCTTGCCAACAAAGGTCCGTATAGTTAAAGCCATGGTTTTCCCAGTAGTGATGTATGGAAGTGAGAGCTGGACCATAAAGAAGGCTGATCGCCGAAGAATTGATGCTTTTGAATTATGGTGCTGGAGAAGACTCTTGAGAGTCCCATGGACTGCAAGAAGATCAAACGCATCCATTCTTAAGGAAATCAGCCCTGAGTGCTCACTGGAAGGACAGATCGTGAAGCTGAGGCTCCAGTACTTTGGCCACCTCATGAGAAGAGAAGACTCCCTGGAGAAGACACTGATGCTGGGAAAGATGGAGGGCACAAGGAGAAGGGGGCGACAGAGGACGAGATGGTTGGATAGTGTTTTCGAGGTTACCAGCATGAGTCTGACCAAACTGCGGGAAGTAGTGGAGGACAGAGGTGCCTGGCGTGCTCTGGTCCATGGGGTCACGAAGAGTCGGATACGACTAAACGACTAAACAACAACAAACCCCTGCCCGTATGGGCCAGTCTTGACAGACTCTGGGGTTGTGCGCCCATCTCACTCAAGAGGCTTCTGGGTCACGTGGCCAGCGTGACAAAGCTGCATCTGGCGAGCCAGCGCAGCACACGGAATGCCGTTTACCTTCCCGCTGGTAAGCGGTCCCTATTTATCTACTTGCACCCGGGGGTGCTTTCGAACTGCTAGGTTGGCAGGCGCTGGGACCGAGCAGCGGGAGCGCACCCCGCCGCGGGGATTCGAACCGCCGACCTTTCGATCGGCAAGCCCTAGGCGCTGAGGCTTTTACCCACAGCGCCACCCGCGTCCCTTTACCAACTAGATAGTGACATGTAAACTACATTTCAAAAATTCCAATGGAGTAAAAAACCCGAAATAACTTAAGGCTGCTATTGATTACAAGTTGTTTTCCAGCCTTGTGAGTTGTAAAACACCACCACCACCACCATAAGCCTTACATTTCACATATTACACTGAACACAAGTAAATCTGTCACTACACATTTTGTGTGTACACTTGCTCATTTATTATGCATCTCAACTATGGTTGTACACAGACTGTACATGCATTGAACATTACAGGTGAATAACTGCAGCTTAGCTATTTGTAGACACAGGTACACACATTGCATATTTGTGGAATGCAATGTGTGTTTTACTACAAAGAATTAAAATGCCTTAGCCAGATTGTGTTTCAAAAAACCTGAAATAAAAATCCTGAAACCAGCATCCCTTGTGAAACACCTGTCCCCAGTTCACCAGAAGATACACCTGCTGTAGCAAGCTTTTAGTAGCGTATTATATGAATGCAATCAGAGCAATTCTAAAGATCTGTTCAGCAACAGAGCACAAATAAAGCCAGCAGTTCAGATTAGTGGTAAAAGAAAAACCAGCCGCAGGTTTGCCAGTGAAGTTGTGTTTTGCCATTTTGAGTTAGCACAAGGACTTTGATCTGGCAAACACACACACACACAAAATGCAGTGCTTTCTGAATACTTTTCTTGGCAGCTTTAAGGCGGTAGCATTGGCTGCAGAAGAAAAGCTGATCACATGACCTGCATTCTAAAATGTTGCCAGGCCAGTGTCAACATACAACACTGCTGGGAGCATAGGGACCTCTGCTGATACTTCACAGCAACAGCTGCTTATGGGCTCTGCATAAAAGGGCAGTAATCTTGCTTTCCCCCTCCGCCTGGATCACAAGAGATGTACTGCCGTGTTTTGGATTATTGCGTGCACAAACATGGAATCAAAAGCTTGACTGTGTTATTGCCATTCTCGTATTAACTCGAAAAGCTCTTCTCCAAAGTGCAGTATTTTGAGGACTCCAGGCAAGACCTAATTCCCGCCCCTCCCACCTCATCTAGAAAGCAGAGTTAACATGAAATATTGGGCTTGATTTAAATGTACAGTATCTCAAGCATCTTGTCCTAGTTTGTAAAATATTAGAATCCACTCAAAACTAAGTGCCAACAAATTCATTGTGAAAAATTTAAGCACATACTCAACTTTTCTACGGAAATCTGTGGTGGTATGTCTGTTATATGTCATTTTCAAGGCACAAGAAAGTTGAAGTTTCCTAAGGGATTGTTATTACTGAAATTACATCTCCTTGAAATAAGTAAAAAGGCAACCTCTTTTACAGGATAACATTTACAAGTAGCTCATTCTTCTTTCTGGGGGATGAAGCCTAAAACCTGATTTACTATTGAAAATGCATAATGAATAATTTTCTTCAGTGCAGGATATTTTAGGAGCAAGATAAATCATATGCTTTTTACACACAAAAGGTCTGAGAATGGATTCCTTCTGGTGCCAGCCAATGTAGAATATACAGTAGTATAAGGCAGCTTCCTGTGTGCCTTAAAATAGCTAATTTGCAAGTTAACAAAGCCTTTTGTGCATCTGCTTATCCACATACTATTTGTTGGTAGTTGTTGAAGTATCAAAGTTAAAAAATGGCATGGTCAATCGATTCACTTCGGGAATAGCTTAATTGGCTTAATAATAGCTTAAACCATCCTCTGTTTATACACTTTCTTTCAGGAATTTCAAGGTGTTATTGGTCCTTCCTCCCATTTTATCCTCCCAACTACCCTATTGGTAAAGTTAGGCTGAGTCAGTGGCCTACGGTCAGCTTAGCAGTGAGCTTCATGGCTGGTCTCCCCAGTCCTATGCAAACTCTTAACCACTGTGTTTGTATTGTAGAAGATCAAAATTTTCCATTCTTTGATAATACTTTATATTTAACACTGCAGTTCTAGAGTCTACACAGAATATTCCCTGCCTACCCCACTGTGCTTCTGCTGCTCAGACGCCATCATTATGCCACATAAAGCTAACAGAAAGCTTCAGAGGAAAAACCAAATCCCTGCCGGAGGGCTGGATTAGTGTAGTAGGCTCTTATGCTATGCAATGCATGCCAGATTCTGCTTGTGAATAGAAATTCAAGCATTCTGTTCCTCTGCAGAAAACACTTTAAAAATAGAAAACCAATGCAAACTACCGTATACGGCTTTAACTCCAGTAGTGTTTTTATTTCCCCTGGCCCCTCTTGGAGAACTCAAAATGTTTGACACTCTGGAAGCTCTCAGAACCTGCCTGTCTGTTTGGATCCAGTGTTCTTGAAAGATGTTTGTGTAACGTTGCATGCTTTTGCAGTACCATGCAAAAACATTCCCGAACCAGTCAACAGCAGAGGTGCATACGTATCTTTTGTGTGCTGCTTAACTAGGTGTCTTAAATAAAGCTTGTATCATTTGCTGCCTAAAGCAAAACGTAACTAGAATGTAATGAAAATAGCTCAGGGAACAGTGATGCTAAAGTGAATGAAGGCTTGGTTTCAAATGGTAATACTTCTGGCAATGCATGAGTGATGGGGAAATGTTCATTAGTGAACAAAAAACTTGCAAGTGGCTCATGCTGCCTTTAACAATGGGGAAAAGGTGGAGGGGTGGAAGAAAGGGAAGACTTGGGAATATCCTTGATGTGGCAACAAGTCATACATCTGAATAGGGAACCCCTCATTCAAAGTTGATTTTGTAGGGCAACACAAGTCATATAGAAGCTATTTAGAGAACACCTTTCAGCCTGAAGTAGCCATTTTTCCCAACAACTGACATATTTGTTAAAATGGCCTCTTATAAAGGGTGCTTCTTTGAACATTCTGGGTCATAGACTTGAAAGGGACCTAGTCCAAGCCCCTGCAATGCAGGAATCCTGCCCACAGCTATCCCTGGGTGGGCTTGAACCACCAACTTTCTGATTAACAGGCAGATGCACTGTGCCGCCTGAGGTGCTGTCCTGGTGTGATTTCCTACAATGCACCAGCAGCTGTCACTTCTTGTTTCCCCTTTAGCCTGCAGTGTCTGCTCCAGAGGGTCCCCCCAACCCCTCTGCAGGTAAGATTTCTAGGGTGTATGGAGAGAAAAGGAAAGTTCCAATGCACAAATGGAAGCCTGTTGCACAAGGGGGGTGACACTCACTGTTAAGACTGCTTATACATAGTGAACAAGAAGTGATTTATATTCTCATCAGTTTAAGGAAAACTGCACAACCCTTGGAAATAGGCAACTGCAAGAAGGAAGCCATTATTGGTTGTTTTTACATTCAAGTCTCAAAATTTCATTAATACTCAATTTGCAAATGGAACACTCTCCAATCTAGAACAAAATATAATATATTGTCAACATTTGCATCCTTCAATTATAATCTTATACAGTAGCAGATAGTGAAGTGGAAGTCACTGCTGCTTACCAAAAAACAAGGGCATGGCAAGGGAGAACAGCATGGTGCAAATACACCACCACCACATTAGCTATGCTGGTGCATTTGCATCACCACCATCTTGCTTCTCTCAGAAAGCTGCAGCGATTCACCTGCCAGGAGGTAAGGTAAGCACCTCCACCCCATCCCACAATCTGCTACTGGCTTACAACTCATGTAAATTAATTTGCAGCACAAAAGCAGTTTTACATTAAGAAATCTTTACAAATCTGGTGGAAAAAAGAGATTTTTATTCACATGGTCAAGATAACATCTTATTCTGCCAATTTTAAATAAGACAGCTCTAAGGCATCCTTCTCTGAAGAGGCATTGCACGGGACACAAAAAATGACCGATGTGATCCCTCGGTGAATAGAACAGGTCTTACGCCACCAGAGCAGAAGCTGTGGATGATTCACTAGACAGAGGGAGGCAAAAGAGAGATGTCAAGATGTGGCAAGTGCAACACCCACAAGACTGCATTTAGGAATTTTATGACAATTCCAGCGGCTCACTCAGACATCCAAGGAAGGGCTGAGCCAACACAAAAGAAAAACCTTTCTGGTGGAAACTACAAATGTTTGGAACACAATCATCACAGCGAGCAATCTGCAAACGAAGCAACTGAATGCTTAAAGAACTATGGAGAAAATCTAGCCTAGTATACCTGTTAACAGGATTAGCACATATTTCTAAGTTATTCTATTATAGATGTACTACATATATAGCACCTGTAGACCAACAGTACTCACTTGGGCTGGAAAGAGTTCTTTTACAGAAGCATATCCCAATTGCATTTAATGGCTACATTACCCTTTAAAATAAAACTGAGCCTACAGGTAGCCAGCCTATTGTCAAATCAGCAGCTTTCCTTGTGTAAGTGCTATCTCCCCCCCCCCCCAATCCAATGTCATAAGGTTAGGAAACTGAAACCTGCTGCCTACTTTTTTTTCTTCATGGAAAATTTCTACACCAGGATCAAGAGCAAATTATACTTACTACTTCCAATTAGGTGGGAGTACCCTCTTGGTCTTGTAATAACGAGCAAGCCTATGAATTCTGCTCTCAATCAAAATGAGACGGAATTTGGCATCTTTATCCTAAGGAGGGAAAACCAATTTTCTTATAAATACTGCTTTTTAACAAAAGAAACTAACTAGAAATTGGGGGAAGGGGATGTTCAGTGAAATCTTACATAAAGGATTTCCCTAACCTAGAGGCATGATCTCCTGCAATTGCAGGTCCCATTTTATAATCTTGAGGATGGAGTATGACCAGCTTACTTACCTTCCGGTTCCTCTCAAGATGCTTGCGGACAGCCACAGCCTTCTTGATCAAGTGGTAAAGGTCTTCTGGAAGATCAGGGGCAAGTCCTTTGGATTTAAGAATCCTTAGAATTTTGTTGCCTGTCACAAAACGAACTTGGGCAACACCATGGGAGTCCCTGAGGATCACACCTAAAACAGAGAAATAATTACACACTTTTAGAAATACAAGACAACTCAGCTATGATTGGAAATGCTCACTCTACCAAGGAATTATTAGTCAATACAAGGGAAAACTATTCTGATGGAAATAAAAAATGGTTTCTAACAATTATCACAGAGAGCAACCTGAGCAAAACAGTGCTATGCACACTCAGAAATACAGGTACTTGATGGGTGTGTCAAGTATAAACTCAACCTAATGGTGACTACACAGCACCTTGAAATTTTAGAAGCAATGGAATTTGAGGGCTGAAACCAAAAAATCTTTGAAATTTAATGGGCTGAAATATTTATTTAGCAACACACACGTGCACGCACGCGCGTACACACACACACCTCCAATCCAATGTATTACATATGATTTAAGACTTATATGCTTAACCAAAGACAGAAATGCAGCTATACCACTACATCTGAGCACTCCACTAGCAATAGTCAAGCAACACAACTAGAACTGTAAAAACTCTATGTAGCCAACAGGAGTAATACCTGCCAAATGTGGTACATTAGCTCAACATACCAATTTGTGAGGGAGTTAGGCCCTTCTTCGCCAACTTGTAGATCTGTTCTTTGACATCATCAGAAGTAAGTTTGAGCCACTGTAATAATTCAATTGTGAGCCAGATTAGTTCACACATAGTTTATGTTGGTAGTATAAACTAACACCCAGAATCAAATTGGGACTACATTAACCATGCAATACATTACATCAATGCAGTTTTAGAAAATGCAACTGTCTAGGAGTGTTTCAAACAATCCTCTCTGCTAAATCTTAATGCATATCCTTGTAGCATTTATTTTCAGAAAATAGTGGTGCGCTGCATTGTAACCCCACAGTGGCTGCTATGCTGTTTTATTTGTTTTATGTTGCATTTTTGTTTTAATTGCTAGCTTTTAAATTGTACATATGTACAAATGTATACCACTTTTGTTCAGGAACACTATAAGAAATTGTAAAGAGATCCAAAACGACTACTCCAAACTAGTAAAGTGACAAATGTAATTCACTGTGAAAAACTATAAAGAGGCACATGTGTGTATGGGGGGAGGAGTATCAATATATGGGGTCTGAACCAGCAGAGACTGACCAGGAAGGAAATTTTGCGGTCATAGTCAACAGGTTGATAAAGAGAGTAAATGAGTTTGTGGCAGCTGCGAAAAAGGCAAATACCACGTTAGGGATCATTAGGAAAGGAATTGAAAATAAAACTGCCAGTATCATAATGCCATTATACAAATTTGTCTAAGACCATCAATGATTACTAACCATGATGATTTTGCTCCTCCTTCATGGTCAGATGCAACACACTTATGAATCCACTTGCTAAAAACTACAGGAGGAGAGAATGCTCTTTTGTGCTCAGATCCTGCTTGCAGGTTTCCCACAGGCTTCTAGGTGGCCACTGTGAGAACAAGATACTGTCCTGATCCAGCAGGCTCTTCTTATGTTCTTACCTTTCAAACCATTTCCAGTGCCATGCTAAACTGAATGTATACAGTTGCAGCCACAGACAAATTTCAGTGTGCTTCATTACTATAAATATTTGAGAAAGGCTTGCCTATTATTTAACTACCTGTTGAATGGAAGTGTTGCAGCAGAGAGTACTTCGCTGTACTAAGAGCTTTTAGAAAACAGGACACTTTGACAAATGCAAGATAGCATCACTGTTTAGTCTATACACTGTAGGCCAAAATAGTTTTCTACAATGGCAACCCACTTGAATATTATTTGACTGTGCACCATAATACATTCCCCACATTTGTTAAGTAGGATTACAAACAACTAAAGATATTACTTACTGTGGGCACACTTCGCCTATAGGGCAAGGCAGACTGGGACAGGCCCTTCCTGTGGGAAAAGAAACCGAAGGAATGAGTATAAAGTTTTAAACATGCATTTCTGGAAACATGGCAGACAAGCACCTCATTATCTGATACCCAACAGAGTCATCAACTTGCTGCAGCAGCAACCCATAAATGTTATGACCATCCGTGATACTTCCAAGACCGTACCGTGTGCAGTCAAATCAATGGAAAAATAAAACCTCTTTAACTACAACAGCCCCACTATTTTCTGGCTTTATAAAAAGGGAGGGAGGAAAGCTACTCCCCACGACGATTTCATTTTTACTACATCAAGTCTGAGCCCACGTCTCCAAGCGTGGCGGTTTCCCGCGGCCCGACTCCAGAGGCCTCCCCGGGAGAAAACCACCCTGAGTCTTCATTCACAATGAGCCCCAGGATCCAGCCGTAGGCTAATGGTCAGCCAGGAACAGCGAGGCCGAGGCCGGCCATGGACACCCGGGAGACAAGGCGGCTCCTCTCCTCGAGGCCTCCGAGAAAAGGGCCCCGAAGCAACGCGCCGCCAGCCCATAGCCCGGCCCCACCAGCTCCCCCCGGCCCCAGGAGCGCTAGAGAGAGCGCCCTCCTCTCCAGCCCCGGCCCTCGCCTCCTTTCCCCCCTCCGCGGACGACTCACCCAGGAGCGTGCATGCGACCCATGATGGCGGCGGCGGCGGCGAAAAGGAAGAGGAAAGCGAGGCGGCCGCGCAGATCTACCCTTTCCTGCAGTCGGAAGTGACGTTAGCGCGCTCGGCCGCCGCCGCCGCCGCTCTCGGGTTTCCTGTTTTGTTTGGAGACATCCATTTTGCTTCGCTAGAGCCATAGAGTTCGCAGCAAGCTAGAAGGGCAGCGCACCCGGTCTATTTTCACTCGCGGGAAGGGAGCCGGAGGCGCGGGTCGCTCAGCGGCGGGCGCGGCTGGCGGGAAGGGGCTTTTTCAGCGCCAGTGGCCATAAGAGCATTAGTGGCTCCCAACAGGGGTTGACTACACATCAGTGACGAAAGGCTCCGATAGAGAACAGCAGGCGACCCTCCAGATGCCATTCAAATGGCATTCAAATAAAGGGACATAAAGCGTTACAATCGCTATATATCGAAAGGGCAGTAGCACATAAGCAAAACTAAGAACAGATTCCTCAAAAGCAGTCGATACGGTTCATTACGCAGTTCATAGTGATGCGAAATATCAGAAACAGCTGCTGTGACAAATGACACGGTCTCCCTGGTCAGGGGCTTCTTCATAGAGTTCACCAAGGGCGCTTCTTTTTAACCCTCAGAGAGGATCGATCGCTTCTGTGCTGTTTTTGCAGGGATGGAGCAACAGGTTCCAGAGTGTCTGAGAGGTATATTTCTTCATATGGATACTGTGAGCATAGCCTGTCTATATTTCTGATTGAACATTGTTTTCTCCCAAATGTTGATTAACAGAGGTGACAGTCAAATAAGGCAGGCGCAGAACTTGTTTCCTCAGGTGACATTTTCCCACCCTGTATATACCCTATTTTTTGCTCTAGATGACTCACTTTTTCCCTCCTAAAAAGTAAGGGGAAATGTGTGTGCGTCTTAATGGAGCGAATGCAGGCTGCACAGCTATCCCAGAAGCCAGAACAGCAAGAGGGATTGCTGCTTTCACTGCGCAGCGATCCCTCTTGCTGTTCCGGCTTCTGAGATTCAGAATTTTTTCCCCTTGTTTTCCTCCTCCAAAAACTAGGTGCGTCTTGTGTGTCTTATGGAGCGAAAAATACGGTATATATATATATATTCTCTCTGTATATTATGAAACCATTTTTTAATAAGAACCTCCACCTCCATCTGAAATATGGAGACAGTAAAACAAGAGTAACTGAGTTCCTTGGCTTGACCTGTGCTGATGTGTAGTGTTGTAATGAAACTACCATGACACCTACAGTATAGTTTCCAGAAGGGACTACCATGCACAGTACTGTATTTGTTTTCATTGAATTGTAAAATTGAAACCCCTAGCTCTATTTGCCCAACACAGGGCTTGAGCCAACAACCAGAAATTAAGAATCTCATGCTCTACTGTGTGTGTAAATTTTTTCTTTTAAAATAAACTTGCATCTAAAGCATAGCTGTCAACGTTTCCCTTTTTTAAAGGGAAATTCCCTTATTCCGAATAGGATTCCTCGCAAGAAAAGTTGACAGCTATGATCCTAAAGGTGTTGAGCTCTGGATGTGCTGGGCCATGTCTGTTGTTACAGGAAACAAGTGTTTTCTGCAATTACTAATCCATAATATTTAACATGCAAACCATCTGCTTGTCCAATCAAGCACTATATTTGACATTACAAAGAGGCAGGTAGGTAGCAGTGTTGGTCTGACGCAGTTGAAATATATATTTAAAAATTTAAAAAATTGTCCAGTAGCACCTTAGAGACCAACCAAGTTTGTTCTTGGTATAAGCTTTCGTGTGCATGCACACTTCTTCAGATACACTGAAACAGAAGTCATCAGACCCTTATATATAGTGGGAGGGTGGGGTGGGGTTTTTCGCAGGAGGGTAGGAGGAGATGGGTGATTGACTCAATGGGTATGGTAAACCTGTTGACTGTTAATGACTGCAATTAGTCCTACAGGAAAAAGCAAGGGATAGTATGCAGATGATTAGCATGTGTAATGAGACAGGAATACAATATCTCTATTAAGACCAGGTCTTAATAGAGATATCAATTTTTAAATTTTTTTTACATATTCAATTACAAAGAAGCAACCTCTAGTGAATGGCAGCTGTTATGCTTGGTAGATGTGAGCATGTTCAGGTGATGTACTTTTGACATGAAACTGTTTTTCTTGACTATTTTCCTTTCCTTTCCTGCAGGAAACAGCTATACTTTTACAACCACTGAGGAAGTAAAAGCAGTGAGTGGAGATGCTATTCAGCAGAAAACAGCACAATGAAAAAAGGACAGGAAGCCCCTTCCACATCCAATTTCAGCCCAATGGCAGCATGGTTTTAAATAAAATCCCAAGCACTCAAAGAACTGCCATCAGTTTTGCAAACCCAGCCAACATACTGTGTGAATCGCTGAGAGTATTTGCTTTGTGTGGTGTTGCCACAAAAGTCAACCAGATAGTGAAATAAAGACAATACAGTAGTAATTTTTAAAATGTGACCAAATGCTGTTCTACATTTTCTGCAAAAAAGGAAAATATAGCAGCTGTGCACTCTTAAGCTGATGAAATTTTAAAGGTGCCCTCAGACTTATCTGAGCTGTACAACCACCAACTCCAGAAAATGCAGTGGCTTTGAGTTTTGTATTTCAAACCAGACACAAGTAGTAGCCAAAAATAGAAATTTGCTAATAGCAAACAACAGAGAATTTAGGCTTTGCTAAGTGAATGGGTAATAGTAAAATCTATTACAAGGCTACATTATTTTTGTAGCTTGTGTTTTTCTACTTCCCTACACACATACCAGTGTTTGTAGAAAAAGAGGCAATACGTTATTTATTCCAGAATAGTGTTTAATGTAATTGTAGGACAGTTATGGAGTCACATTTAACCCACATATTATGGGTTAGGATACTGATAGAAATACTGTACTGTACATCCTTATTAGCTATCAGTGTAATATAACTGAAGTATTTGGTTCTTACAGATAAATAGACAATTCAAGGCAAACTTCTACATTTGCTCCCAATGCATTTCATTATCTATGAACCTTTGCCATACTTTTTTTTAGTCACAGTATGAGAGTACAAAGCACAAAAGGAAATTAAATTCCTATGGATTGTGAGAATGGTGCTATATTGCCTGAATGGTTTTCCTCCATGTAACATGCATAGGCTACAATCTAAAACAAACTGACTTAAGTCCATTGGTGTAAATGAGCTTAAGCATACATAACTCTGCATTATACTGTGCCCCTAACACAGCAAATACCAGAAATAAAATTTCTTCAATTTGAAAGCTGCACTGTATAGTATCCTAGAAAGAGCAATCAGGTTTTTAAGGCAACGTACTAAGATTTCTGCACCATTTTAATTTTAAAAATAGAGAAATATCAAAGACCTCTTGAGCTTTCATATATATGTGTAGATCATAAAAAAGCAGTAATATTTAAAAAATTCAGTGCACAAAGTCATAGCCAGGTTATTTAGTACAGAAAACGTGGAGGTCATTTTTCTTACAGCAAGATGTTTTCCTCAAAAGTACATAGACACAATTTTCTTTCTAGCTGCAGTCCATACATGTTGCATAAGATTTTCTTTGATTAACAATGTATAAAATGCCAGTAAGACCACATTTTAAAAACACGAAAGTGTTAAATGTTAACCCAATTATTCCCTCCTCCCCTTTTGTGTATACCAAACTAAGATAATCATCTGTTGTGTATCACACCACTATAAATAATTCAAGAGATGCAAAATTAATGTTCCTCTACAGTTTTTAATGGTAAATGAAGAACAGTTTAAGAATCTACCAACGTGTACTTTATTTTGAAAAGTGGTGAAGGTGGGCAAAGGCACAGGCATGGACAAACACTGGCAAATGCTACCATTAAGACAGCATACATATTCTAACCAGCATCCAGCCAAGAGTCTTTTTAATGTCACGTTTTGTGCTGTAACATACTGTGCTCTAGTAGCAGACTGCAAAAAAGCAGTACATATTGCTTCCAGTAATTTAATGGAACGTTTCACAAAAACAGTAGTCTACTTTCCTGTCTGGTTGTGGTTCTATTGATGAAATGGAATGCATCTCAAAAAGCATCAAGTGAGCAGGAAATACAATCTAGTTAGTTTATATATAGGTTACTATTTACATACTGAACTCAAAGCTAATAAAACCAGGACTTTTTAAACCTCAAGTAGCTTTTGTTAGCCACAATGTAATTTTGACACTGAGAAATATTCCAAGGTTTTATTGTACAATTGGACCACAAATATTTCAGGCAGCAAAATGTTATTCCCATTTCTCCCCTGCATTTTTTAATATTAGGTCCGAAAATGGAGACCTCACTATGCTTTAGGGTAAATAAATTAGATCACATTTTAGTTCAGTTGCCCGGCAAATAAAGATTGTCATTGTCTACTTTATCCTCATTTATCATTGCATAATTTTGCTTTAAGCTCATTATTATGGACAGTTGAGAGATCAGCTTTATTCAGAAGTATTTTGGCGTTAGCTTTCAATGTATCAGGTGATATCCAAATAGGTCATGCTCAAAGTAGACCCAATAAAATTAATGGACTTAAATTATGAGTCCATTGATTTCATTGGGCATACTCAAAGTATGACGAATCTTGGATATTGGCCATGGTGCAATCTAAACACTTCCTACACCAGCTTTTTAAAATCTTCGTTTTACCAGTTAGTAAATTTTATTTATAGCAACCTATCCCTAAGTATCACACAAATGTAGAAAACTAGAATACAATTAAAATCAGTGGATTCAGAGTGCAATCCACTAAAAGGTGGTGCAGAGCACCTTCCACGCATTTCAGCAAGTCAATTTCTACTGGAGTGAATAAGGTGCTTGGATTACTCTTTTAGTGCTCATAGACTGAAAAACTGTTATTGTGCCCAGTCACATCACCCAAAGTTTTTAGTGCAACTTATTCTCAACCGGCAGCTGATACTGTGCTCTTCTGCTCTTTAAAGTGACCTGGAAATGGAATCCCTACCAAATAATGCATAACCCATAACATTTACTTTCTGGAAAAATATGTGCTATGCAGCAAACCATGGCATAAAATAGCTTCAATGTATATCTTAATGTGGCCGTTTATCAAGGTATAACTTACGGGCGCACAAAAATGATCAAAGTCAACTGGATAAGCATTTAACATTTTGGTGCCATCTGAGTTTGACTTAAGGAAGCTGAATAAACTTAAAAGGGGGGAGGAATGTTAAATGAAGTATTTATATAGCAAACCATGTGAGCAAACATTCATTCTTTTTTTAAAAAAAGCTGGATAAAAAATTGTGTTTTAGAAACAATTATCAGAAATGAGGTATAAGAAGCAGCTGAATGACAAAATAAGGCACCATTGTTTATTACTTCCGTTACTGGCACTCATTCTGATAATAGCCTCAAAGAGATTTAATGAGTCCAAATGCTCACTAAGGAGTATCTCCAGCTGTCTGTTTAAATCTCCCTTTTGACAGTTTGTGCAGCCACTAACTCTTTTCTGACAAGCAGCAATCTTTTTTTTTTTACTTTGATATTTTTTGACATGGTACTGTGTCCGATAACAGCAGCATAAAGCAAGCTTCCAATATATCAACAGGCAAGCACTTCAAATGTGACTGAATCTAATCTATTTTTTTAATTAAAAAAAACCACCCCTTAGATTTAATTTGGAACATCTAGTCAAGGTTTATAATTTCATTATCCACAGATATTAAATTTATACAATTCATTTACAGCAATGCTTGGATATTATTACAGTAAAAGCATGAAGCAGAGCTGGTTTTCCAGAAGTCCTGTTTAAACTTTGTGAAGGCTGGTCCAACAGCAATCTACCAAATTGCCATGTTTTATGTTAAAGTGTGTGAGTTATCTTCAAGTAGGAAAAAGTGACCAAATATGGGTGAAGTTGAGTTTATTCAATTCTGTTCTTATTTTCACCTCTCTCAGCTGCCAGGTTCACAAATATGGTACAGCAGCAAGTCGATACCAGTTGACAGTCTCCTTGTTCAAGTTAAATTCCTTTAAGGAGAGTGTGACACCGCCCAGGAAAAAGTTCTCACGCAGCGATTCAGCGCTGAGTACACTTAGCTGAAGTTCCCTTTGCTTTAGGGTCTCTTTGCTATATCCACTGTATACAAGCTATATAAAAAACACACACACAGTAATTCATAAACAATGAAAGTCAAGACAGTTTATTTACAAAACATCCAGGATTAAGTTACAAAAACTGATGGTGAGTAAGACAGATCCCTGTATAGAATACGTCTTTTATTTTCTACTCCTAGGCTTATTACCATTTGCTGGGTGACTGAGGTAACATTCTGCCTCAATCAACCCTATGGAAGATAGGTATATGGTAAAGGTAAAGGTACCCCTGACTGTTAGGTCCAGTCGCGGACGACGCGGGGGTTGCACGCTCATCTCGCTCTATAGGCTGAGGGAGCAGGCGTTTGTCTGCAGACAGCTTCCGGGTCATGTGGCCAGCATGACTAAGCCGCTTCTGGTGAACCAGAGCAGCGCACGGAAACGCCGTTTACCTTACCACCGGAGTGGTACCTATTTATCTACTTGCACTTTGATGTGCTTTCGAACTGCTAGGTGGGCAGGAGCTGGGACCGAGCAATGGTAGCTCACCCCATCATGGGGGTTCGTACCGCCGACCTTCTGATTGGCAAGCCACAGTGCCACCCGTTGGTACCTGAACACAAATGTATGTTTTCAAGGTACAGTCATACCTCTGGACGAATACGCTTCAGGTTAAGCATTTTCGGGTTGCGCTCCGCGGTGACCCGGAAGTAATGGAGCGCGTTACTTCCAGGTTTCGTCGCTTGCGCATGCACAGACGCTCAAAATGACGTCATGTGCATGCGCAAAAGCAGCAAAACGTGACCCGTGCACGCGTGTTATGTTCGCTTCAGGATACGAACAGGGCTCTGGAATGGATCCCACTGTATTTCTTTTGACCTTCATTCATTCATTCATTCATTTAGAGGGGGAATGGTGTTGGGTTGTTGTTTTTTTTAAATTCTTTTATTAAATACTTGAATATGATCACTAATTTATGTTTCAAAACATTCCACTCCCTGAACTAGACCTACCCTTTGAAGGGCAATAGTTTAATTCGTGACGAAGGTTGGAAAGGGACAGTGTCGTAGTTACATGTCCCTGATTTCCATGCACACACTTCCCATCTGCATCCCCTGGGATTACAACAGCAAGTGTCTGCATTCATTTTAAATCCCCTCAACAGGTTATCGTCATATGGGAACATCTGTAATTGTGGGCACACCCTTAGATTAATCCATAAATATATCTGGAATGTTTCATTCAGCTGTGAATATATGGATTTAGATGTCCACCTATACCCATCCACCTATATTAGATGAAAAATTCTTCAATTAGTCATTGACCTATTTGCTCTGCTGTCAAGGATTGTTCACAAATATTCTAACATCTTAGCTTAAATGCAGTTGCAGTGGTGTATTTCTAGTGTCTGCCACCCCCTAGGCAGAAGAGATTTGTTGGGGTAGAGGGACAGGAGGGAGAGAGGAAGAGGGACGTACAAGGATCACCAGATTGCCTGCACAAGCCTTTTGTAACCTTCTGGGTTATCTACTCAGAAGTAAATACCAGTGAACCAAATTGAGCTTACCCACTCCCCCAAGTGTGTACAGTTTAAGACCTCAGTGATTTGATCTACTGAAAACAGGCTTGTATAAATAAGCTTTAAAAATGGACTTGCAAAGTTCCTTCCCTACCTTCACCCCCAATTTCATATTCCATTGTTTTAACTCAGAAGACTGAGAATAATTTTTTTAAAAGAGGCAGATTTTCAGGAAAAATCCTGGCACTGGATTCTTGCTTTAAGAAAATATTTTAGAAGAGGCTCTCCTCTCCCACTCCAAATTCATAAACAGGGATACAGTGCTTTCAAGGATAAAGCTAACCTTCCAATTTTTGAAATCATTCCCTGTTATTGGAGAGTGGCACCATGGTTAACTGGGATGTGAGAGAAAAGCATTCTCTGTGATCCACACTGAGCACCCTGAAAAGGTGGTAGACTTCTCATAACAGCTTAAGGCATCTTGGGATGTAAAAGCAATTGGAAAATTGTACAGCCAGGCATATATATATATATATTCTGACCCCAAGCAGTTTCATACAGCATGGGTTATGGCAGCTGCAGGATAGATGTGATTTAGAGTATGTTTCTTACTCCCATTGGGGCAATTCAATGGGGGCCCTCTGATGTGTTCCATCAGTTATAGCTATGTAACACGGATTTGCTTTGAAAAGCCACCAAATATTATAAATAGCTTATTTCAGCTTACCATTTCATTGAAAGTTGGATTTCTTGTTTTCCGTGATATCTTGGTTTTCCGTTTAGAGGTTTTATGTATGTCCGGAAGCAGGTATGTTTTCACATATGGATTTGGGTCTGTGCCATCATCAGTCACCTGAGAATGAGAGCACATCTCTGGTGTAAGAAACAACCATCAACCATACTGAAATAAAGTAAGACACTGGCATTGCTGTTTAAATAACACAGGGATTTTTATCATAGGGATCATACCCTTAGAAATTACTGTTGGTAAGAGCAAACTACTTGTCACCAAAATCTACTATGAACTATCATATGCATTTTCCAGTTTTGTACATACCAGATCCTTAATGTGCATCACCATGATAAACAGAGTGCTGTTTCTATAGGAGATAGATAGTTTTACTTCTCCTCCTACTTTGCCCGAGGTAGGACTTGAAGGGCTCACATCTTAAAAAAAGAAAA